TTTTGAGTCGAAGCCAGAAGAAGACGGTTGTTTCTTCTTTATTTATTTCTACTTCTTTCTCCTTTCTTTTATACATACAGATAAGTACTTTTCCTTTGCATTGTTCTGCGCGTAGACATCCTCCATTTTTTCGATCCTACTCCTTTTCCCTCAAAAAAAACGAAGGATAGAACTGTTAGGATTCCAACCTTTGTTGGAAAGCTGCGGAAATGGGGCATATTTGAGAAGAAAACGGGAAAAAAAAGAAAACGAACGAAGTGAAAAAAAGGGTTCGAAATGGATTTTAAATCGAAACAAAAGCTTCATTTTTGTTTTGTTTTTACAATTGTTTCATTCAGTTTTTCGTCACGTTTTAAGCTCCAAAATGCTTTCCATATCTATCTGATTCGGGCGAGATTTATATAGAATAGTAAGAGTTTCAATGCATTATTATATAAAAATAGACAGTTAAAATTAATTTTTGTTTGAAAAAAGATTGAATAGATAGGTAAAAATATTTGTTTACTTTTCAAAATATAGAAACAATATTACTCGAATTCTAAATTTGAGAGCAAGTTCTGCTTTCGTTTCTTTCTTAAATTTTAAATCAAAAAAGCAGTAATGCCTGATTGTAAAACACAGAACTTATATCAAATCTAAACACAAACCAGCATTTGTGTTTGTTTTTATTATTGTTTCTTTCAATTTATCGTGTTTCAAATTTATAAAGAAAAATTGAAAAGCTATTCAATCCTTTGGGAAATATATTTCTGAAAAAGAAAACTGCGAAAATAAGTTTTAAACTTGGAAAGATCAATCTACACGATTTTTTTTAATTTCAGAACAAATCAAAAATGTAAGTTAGGATAGTTTAAAAAATAATATCAATTTATCTTTAATTTTATGATATCACCAGAGTACGCTAAATCCATTGTTGACTAAAATTATTCTTTGTTGTAGGCTTTTTAAAGGATCCATGTGTCACTTCTTGAATATATTTTATTTTTCAACGCTAAGTCATGTTTAGTCTATTTATAAAATATTTTCCATAAGAGGAAGTTGAGTCGTGGTGGCTCATGGGATAGAGGGCTCTTCACCCAATTACGTGACCTGGGTTCGAGTCCCAGCGATGGTGGGTGACATGAATTCCGAATCCGGCTCCCACCAACCACAATGCTGAAGTAAAATATCCTCAGCAGTAGGCGGATTATGTATTAGAGTTTCCTTTCCGTCGGGCTAACCATGGAGAGTCTTGTGGTTTTTCTCTCCATGTAACCCAAAATACAGGCTAGTTTCTTCTAAAAGTCCACCACGAAGGTGTATTTCTCCCAATAATTGATCCAGGAGTTCCTTTGTCTTCTAGATTGGGCTCAAAACTACAAGGGTGCAGAGTAAACTGGAACGACTACATTGGTAGTCGTAAACTCAAGATTGTGTCAACTGTTTAACAACCGTTATAAAATAAATTAAGAAACGAAGCCACGGTGGCTTAGGAGATAGAGTGTTCATCTCCCAATGAATTGACTCAGGTTCGATACCCAGCGGTGGCAGGTTAATACAAATTCACCTCCGTGCAATGTCTTTGGACCTTTCAAAGAAAAAAAAAGTTCATTCACAGCCTCATAGCATGCAGATCTATTTTTTTTCTTTTGTAATACTTTATTTTAAAGTGAAATGAATGCATCCTTAAGAATATTGTAATATTCAAAAATTTTGATATATTTTCGGTAGTTGGTTTCTATTGGTTCAATCTTTTTTTAAATTCTTGATAATTTTTGGTATAATGTTTAGCTTATATTTTTCCACTGAAGTATTTTCATTTTTAAATTTTCATGATCTACTAACGTATCCATTAATATAATTAACTTCATATTAATTTTTATTATTAATTTATTGAAATATAATACATGCACACTTAATATTTTAAAATTTTGAATACTTTTCTACATGCTCTTATGTCTAATAAAGTTTTTAATCATTGCCAGAGCTTTTAAGACACAAGTATGTTGATAAGCAAGATTATAAATATTGAGTTGTAACTATTTTTAATTTTTATGCGTCGAATTTATTATTTCAATTAGTAACACTCAACTTCATTGATTTTTCGCTTAAATTGTTGAAATGCTAACTATTTTTTATATTTTTTTAAATAATTAATTTTTAAATGTCAGTAAAATTCAAAGCGATTGGAATGTGTTAACAGTTAGAGAAGAAAATTGAAAGTACGTCCCGAAGAAATATTTTTAATACAGAATTATTTGTCACAGATTCTTTCATTAATCAATTCTAGGAAAATTCTTGGGAAGCAAGAATAAAAAAAAAATTAAATAAATGCAATTACTCCTACTTATCTTTCGAATTTAATTCGCGGGTATTTACACTTTTTTTTAAACCCAATATATAATTTAATTTCAACTTAAAACAGACACTATTTTTCTTAAGATGTTATACCGCCAACTAGTTTCAAAATAAACTAACAAAACAATCTTTTCATTTGGATTCATTCTCCACAAGCTGAGAGTCGAGAGTTAATTTGCATTCGAAATCCTTTTGACTTCAGGTATTAAATTTTTTCCCGAGGGATACTTTGATAAAAGAGATTAAATTCTGGTTTGCACAGTTAATTAAATTATACATCTTTGTTATTGTGGAAGACAGAAATACTTTAAGAGAATCTAAGTTGTATTTATGAGAGTCACATCATTCCTCTGTTTATTCTATTCCGTGGAGTTAAGAGCTTATATGTGAATTTAATTTATTGATTACACTTTTTTGGGAGGAGTGTTTTTATTTAATTGAGCAAAAGTGAGCCTTATTTAGTGAAAATTGGCTTTTTCAACAAAAATCCAAAATGAATTAATGTATTTTGAAATAAAACTATGTAAAACATTGTTTATTTTTTAAAATTATAAATGACATTGTTATTGTTATTTTAATGTTATTATATTCGTGTTTAGGGAACCGAGGAACATATTTATAGAATTATAAAAGCTTTTTTACAATATTTATTTATTTAATTAAACTTACATCCCTTAATTCCTTTACTAAAAAATATAATAAACTAAGTAACTGGTAAATAACAGTAATTCTTTTGTTAAATAAACCAGGAATTAAAGGGTTAAATAGAGCGAAGATGTTTCAAAATTAATGAATTTTTATGTATTTAACTGTAATCTGGTACGCATTCTTTTTTTTTCTAAAACTATAAACTATTCATATTTTTACCTTCTTTTAACGTCAAAAAAACTACATATAGCTTTGTTTCAAAATAAATAAAACAATTTGTTTTTTATTCTACACACATAAATTTAGATTCTGCACATGCATAAATACATAGTTCGAAACATAGTATTTTTCGAAAAGTTAACCGTTCTTTTGTTTTTCTTATTGTTGATGCTTTGAATTATGATTTATTTTATGCATGATGAATTTGTTTTGTTACATATTTCCTTATGCGACAAACAATAAGCTGAATTCAACTTCGTTAAGAAAGAAGTTCTTTGGTTGCAATTGTTTTGCCAACTATTTACATAATTTTCTAAACTAGCATTCTAAATAAATAGCGTATGAGAAATTTTTTTCGCAAAATTATTTGCGATATCTCTATTGGAAGCTAAACATTACAACCCTATTTTTTTTTCAAATGATTGTGATAAATATTCTCGCCACTGCAAGGATACAAGTGGTAATTTGCTTATGACTAAGTCATAAAAGATGCACTTGTACTAGTTCAGGAGAACATACAATAAAATACTCGTCGAAAGTAGAAAAAAAAGTAAGCAAATGAAGGAGGTAAAAGAGTTTTCATTCTTTTCTGTTTCAAACGTCCAACTCTTATTGTATGATATTGTATTTAAGTTTGCTTTCTTCCTAATGTAAACAAAAGTACTTTTAGTTTTGAAAGGTAAGAGACAACGAATTTGATCTGCCCTCTTTAATTGCAGCTGGTAGAGAGGACCAAAACAGGCTACCAGTGTGGCTAAACACTACAACCACATTTTTTTATCAGCTTTTTGAAAAATATTCTTGCCACTATCAAGAAATTGGTGTTAATATGCTTATAACTGGGAATAATAGGTTATCTAGAACAGGGATTTTCAACTTACATGCGGCCGGGGGCCGCAATTAAAAACACCAGTCAAATGACGGGCCGCAACTTAAAATTTTATGTAGGACTCTTTTATGTTTGAAGGAACATTAAATATTACGATCAGATTTTTATTAAAATTTTTCAAATATCACACAAAATAACAAGCATTACAAATAATGCTTGCTACGCATTTTGAATCTTCTCTTAATCAGAAACTTAGTGTAAATTTTTTTTTCTTTTAAATTTAATTCTGCGATAAATTAACATTATAGCAATAACCAAAAATTCTCGAGCATCTGAAATTAATTTTTTTTTCTTTTCCACTCATACGATATTCAATTCAAGGAATTTAAGTAAAACATGATATTCATTCCCTCTTTTATGCGTTTTAAAGTTTACAAATGTTAATAATTTCGTCCAAAATGAGTAGTTTCAAAAAGTTAAGGGGGAGAATTTCTTCGAGAAAATTTCTGATACACACATGCTGAATTATAGTTACTGAATACAAAAAAAAAAAAAAAAAAAAAAAAAAAAAAAAAAAAAAAAAAAAAAAAAACGAAATAAAAAAGAACAACATGCACGATTATTTTGAGAAATAAATTTTTCTGCATCGTTGGTTTGTTAAATTTCACAGAAACGAAGAAATTAGGTTTTCATAAGTGAAAGAAAAGTATCCGCGAGCCACCAGTTGGTAACCACTGATCTAGAACAAGCTAAGGAAAATTTAAAAAAAAAATCATTAATATTGAACGATGAAAAAAAAAAGGAAGGGGTTAAAAGACTTTTTATTTTTCCGTATTTAATGACTGATAAAGCGCAACTTTTTAGAGTGATATTGTATTTTGTTTGCTTTCTTCTTAATGCAAACAAAAGTTCTTCTAGTTTTATAATGTAAGAGACACCAAATTTGATCTGCCTTTCTCTATTGCAGCTGGTAGAGAGGACCAAAACAAGCTGCCAGTGATGGTCTTTATTCATGGAGAATCTTACGACTGGAATTCAGGGAACGCTTACGATGGAAGCGTTCTGGCAAGCTTTGGAAACCTTATCGTTGTCACCATTAACTTCAGGTTGGGTCTTCTTGGTAAGTGTTATCTGTCTTCTTCAGAATGATGAATGTTTTCAGATGCCTAAGATTTTGTAAAGGGCAGTAAATACGCCAATGCAACATTCTTTGCAGAAGTTGTATTTTTGAGGAAAAGCAAGCAAGGAAATGTTTAAGATGATTTGGATTTTTTAAGAAAGTCCATGATTTCTGATTACGGAGATTCTTTAAGTTTTGAGATTTTCGAATTTTTAAATGCGGGTTTAAATTTTTTAACTATCATATAGCATCTTCTAGTATAAATTTCTTTGTAAATGCATAAATATATAATGTTGTATTTATACATTTACATAGAAAAATAGTCTATCTCAATGTTATTTATTTTATAGACAGCGTTTGAACTTTATTTGATTTAATGATTTTTCATGATTTGGTAAAAAAGATTTTGGCATCTTGGATCGATTTCAAAGAATTGATTCTAGACAATTTTTTCCATCCATATCCTCACTTTTCATGTACATTTTCATTATCACACTGAGACGATAATTAAAAACTTTTTATTTTCATAAATTTCAGTCATCATAAGTCATGTTCAGTCGTCATGTTTTATGAATTTCAGTCATCATTTCTTTTATTTTTACATAGTCGATATTTCGCAAAAAATATTTTAAAGTTTTCATAAAGTTTTCTTAAAGTAATTCATTTATAAACTCTCAATTGAAATGTGCCCCATTACAACATGTACAAAATATATATTTATAAAAAATTAAAATAGATTAATTATTTACTGTGACAGGATTAAAATCAGATTGAGCTCTTTGAATGATCATGGAAGGGGATGAAACAGTTTTTTCTTGTTATGGAATCTTTAAAAAGTGTCAAAATGCATTAAAAAAATTTTGGTAAATGCATTTAAAAAAATTTCGTAAAATATTGGTACTGAGGCCTTTTTGCTCTCTAATTTTTATTTTTATCAAATTTAAATTAAAGAGCTAAAATCAAGCAATTATTCAGTTTAATTTTATCAAATAATTTAAACCTAATATTTCTAACTATACATTTGAATAGTAGAAAGGCTTTTCGAATTCCTAATAAACAATAAGTTGAATTATTGACTCCATCATTCATTTTGTTTAAATTCAATTTTATATAAGTACATTTTCGAAATCGAATATTGTTCTTAAAAAAATTTGATATCTTAGAAAAAGAAAGAAGTTAGTTTGATACTTGAAAGGATTGTAAAAATGCCGCCAAAAAATATACCCAATGTTCTTTAACGTCATCCAAGAAAACTTTAAAAACAGTTCACGTCTTATAAGACAAGTATCGTTCTGCAACCTGATTCCTCTAGATCTCTCGATATTTTTTAATTTTTTTTAAAGCATGATTTTCTAACATACCAAATATTTCCGTTTAATATTCTTCAATATATCTTTAAAAAACACATATATAAAGTGAACGAAAGTTTTCGGGAGCTTTTGGCCTTATATGAATACTTTACTTTTTTCATCACTCCGTTTATATTGCTTATACCTTATCGATAAGTAACGACAGTCGACCCAGAAGTTAAGTAGTTTTGTTGCTAGTTGAGAGTAAGATGATAGTTTCCTAAATGAACAATGTATACTGAGTGAAAATAGACTGTGCATTTATAATTCTTTTTGATTTTCTTTATTTTCTTTGTATCTTAATTCGCTGATCATTTTTGAGAAACCCGTAGGTGTGCTTTGCTTACTCAGTATATTCTCAGTTAAAATGTGGTGAATGCATAACATTTGGATCCCGCAGTGGACTGATCATTAAGACACGGTTCCCAGCAGATCACCGAAGTCGAGCATCACTGGCTGCGGTCAGTATGCGGGTGGGTGACCACTTGGATCTGTCTGCGTAGGGACCGAGGGTGTGCGGTATTGGTCCTCGTTAAACTGTGTTACCGTAAAGTGCTCGACTTCGCGCGCAGGTCGTCGGGCTACCAAAGGGGGGGGCATCCCCTCTGCAGAGGATCAAAATTGTGATGGCATGTCTTCGGATCATCCTCAGGGATGTTTCCCAGACCGTCGCCAATAGCCCATTGTGCAGCTCTAGTGCGACGTAATTTTACAGCAACAACAACAGCATAACATTTGGTTATTATCAGGAATAATGTTGGCCACAAAAAATTTCTTTTTATAAGAGAAAATTCATGTGATATGAGAGAACAAACATTATGTGATGTGATAGCGCAAACAACAAGTGATGTAAAGGGAAAAAAAAAAACATGCGATGTGTAAGAACAAACCTCATGTAATGTGTAAGATCAAACCACGCGTGATTTGTAAGATCAAACCGCATATGATGTGTAGGAACAACACGTAATGTGTAAGAAAAGCCACATGTGATGTGTAATACTAAACCACGTGTGGTTTGTAATGTCAAACCACGTCTGATGTGTAGGAACAAACTCATGTTGCTGAAATAAACCCATATAATGAGTAAGAACAAATTCCATGTGATGTGTAAGAGCAACCCCATTTCATGAGTAAGAACACACACCACGTTACGTGTAATAACAAACTGCATGAGCTAAATTATATTTTGAAATGCCAATAAATATATTTTAACACAATGTATGACTCATAAAAAGAGAATGCTGAAACTCTATACTTAATTTTAGACTTGTCAGGTTATTTTTCATGTTGAGTTGTTAGTAATTATAAACTTTGGGAACATGAAATTTAATTACCTATTTAAAGAAATTACTATGTTTTTATACTTAAAAAATAAACAGCAATTTTATTTTGAACTTTTATTTTAAAACTCAACTAGTTATTAAATTTATAAGCTTGCGCTTATCATTTAAATATAACCTTTTACGTGTACTGTTGGCATGCAAAAATAAATACTTAACCTATAAAGTTTTATGAAGTTTTTTCTCATGAAAGTTCTAACAAAATTTTGATAAAAAAATATTTTCTTTAAGAAATATAGAATCTGCATAAAATACGATTCTTTCATATTTCATCTCTTCAATTGAATATTTTATGCTCGAAAGATATTTTAAATGATTTCTTTAGAATACTATATCAAAGAATTTTATTGAACTATCTGTATATATTCACTTTTGACAAATATTTAAGTATGGTTTTATAATATGAGCAGTTATTTCAGTACATAAAAAAACTGCTGCGTAATACATTGAAAGAAATTTTTCTTATTATATAATAGCTGAATAACTGTTCTTTGTACTGAGTGAATTTTTTTTTATTATATATTAGCGGAATAATAGTTTTTCATACGGGGTGAAAAAAAATTTATATTACAATATAATATAAACTTTTTTATATATTATATTAACTGAATAACTGTTCCTTGTACCGGGTGAAAAAAATTTTTCTTAGTATATATTAGTTAAATAACCGTTCTTCGGAAAGGGTGAAGAAATTCGAATCAATTAATCAATACTGAAAACTCTACAAAATCGTCCACAAAACATTTAGACAAGAACCGAAATAAATAATAAAGCTAAAATAATTCTAATGTCATTCATTTATTTATTATCATTAAATTGCTTTTCTGAGTTTCTTTATGTTATTATATTAAGCGAAACATCTATTTAATTAATCATTTTATCAAAATAAAGATTAACTGATATGACAGAAAGATTTTCAGTATCATCAACATGATGATGTTTCTAGAGGCAACTTATAATCATAAAAATTTATCACATTCAAGAATCGATTATAAAAATGTACAGTATTGGTGCAGCTGTAATTGTCACCAAATTAACTCATAAAATATTTTGTACCTATGTAAGAGTATATTTGGTGCCTATTAAACTACACCAATTAGGGCATATTACCAAAGTATTATTGAGCAAAAATTCGTACGGTGGCGTATGTAAATTTTCTCCATTAATTTTGCCTTTTAATTTTCAGCTTATTTATTTATTTCAATTCGAATCTTTTACTAGAATTATTTTTGTATCATTAGGGACAATAGTTTGCAATTTTCTCTTAAACGAATTAGTAATATTTCTTCCTTAATTTTACCTTTTATGACATAGTTTAGTATTTTACTTCAGTAATAATAAAAATGCATCATTATAGAATCAATAATAAAAATGCATCATTGACTTCAATGATAATATTGGCGTTTTTGTTTATCCTCAACTAATTATTAACATTTCTCCAATTTATCAAAATTAATTATCTCTGGCATTTTTAGTAATATTCGTGTTTTTTATGCTTATTCTAAGCGATTTAGTTCATTTTCTGCTTATATTTTAAATTTTAGTGAAAACTTATGCTTTTAAAAAGTTTAAAATCAACGGTAATTGAATTTAATAAAATAATAACTATTAAAAAAAATGAACACGTAGTTTTAAATTACCTTAGGATCAATAATTTGGTGATGTAACTTGCTATGCTACAACGATCACGTTGATCACTCAGAAACTTGGCATAACAAATACACTATTCTTAATTATAACAGAACGCTCAATAAACAACTTTTTTAATTAAATATATTAACTAGCAATCATTACTGTGTTATCTCTAAACTGAGCCGTCTATAGCTTATTTTCAAACCAGGATATTCGCTATATCAATGTGAAAATACCATCTTAATGTCTCTGAATTTAAAACATATTTTAAAAATCAAAAATAGTGCTTCATAATTTGTTTACAATTTTACTCATATAGATTTAGCTTACAGTACACTAAGAACACGGAATACCGACGCATAGATAAATACAGACAAAGATAGATACAAGCAAAGATCGATGCAAACACAGATAGGTACAAACAGACACTATTTCTTCATTTTATTGATTATTTGTTGCTCTTCTCAGTGACTTTACGTTATTAGATTAAGCAAGACACTATCTTCGTGTACTAATATCTTCGAGAGACCATAAAAAGTCTTTCATAAAATTGTACAGTATTTCAAACAGCTGTGATTGGCAATAAATTTAATCAAAAAATATTTTATACCTATATATGGATATATTTTGTACCTTTTAGAAACTGCACCATCATACCAGAAGTACCAATTACCAAAAT